GAAGTAGTGTTCATGTGATCGCCAGTCGAAATGAGAAGGTGACATGTGACCCAGCTCTTGATATTCGCGCATGAACTCGACATACTTGTCGCGAAAGGCTGTGTCGCGACGCATACGGCGCTCCATAGAAAGCAACCTCTTTTCGGCCATGGTCCGAGATTGGCCCAAAGGAGGCCGTGAGTCAAGAAAGGGTAAGCGGGTGACAAAGCGACCGTCGACACGGCGGCCGGTATTGTTCTGGTAGAACAACTCGCACTCACGGTCCAGAGGGTTGACTCGAGGCGCGTGTGGCGGCTCCTCAATTTCCCAGAACCGCTGGACGACGTCCGAAAGAGACACGCCCGCCACAGGGAGCGGGTCGGCTGCCTGATGCGGTGGAGACCACAGAACCGGTCCAAAGAAACTGTGCCCAAATACAGTGGACACGGCTGACAAGCCATCGGGCTGTAGGGCTCGTATCTCGCCTAACAGGATGAACCCCAGCACGTCGGCCCCCAGCAACAAATCTATAGGCCCAGGTTGGGACCATTGAGGGTCTGCCGGTCTCAAGCCAGACGTACAACAAACCGCGCTATCATTTATACGGGCATTAGGGAGAAAGCCTACAATATCATCGAGGACATTTACCTTAACTAAGATGTGGAGGTGTTCGCTTGCAGGACCAAACACCAGCCTTGCTTGTCCCCTAGGAGCAGGAGGCTCTGCACCTCCAATACCTACCATTGGACATGATTTAGAGCTCCAGGGGAGCCCTAGTCTTCCCACCAACCGAGTGGAGGCCACACAGCGTTGTGAACCTGAATCCAATAGAGCGCGAACAGTTAAGCAGTCGCCACTCGGGTTGTACACCTTCACGGCGGCCGTCGGCAATAGAACAGTTTGACAGGTGGACTGCGGACGGCTTGAAGGATCAGTGAAGGCGGCCGTGGTGGGAGCTAGGGCGGCAGTTTCCTAGCGGGAGCTGCCTTCGTCGGACCGGCACTCAAGCCGGGGGGTCCGGAAAACGGAATTCCGGCGGCATCTCACTGACCCGTGGATGAAAATCGCAGAACGGGCCGACCTGGGGGGCTTCTGGGAACCTTGGCCTGGAGGCCCTGGACAGCTTCGAGGTCTCAGGGAGCCCGTAGTAGCGGGACCGACCAAAAGGGGGGGTGTGGTACTCCAGTCGCGGCCTCTCTGCTAATGGGGGTGAGAAGGATCTCGCTGACCGCTGAGTGGCCGTGAAGTCCCTCTCGACTCTCCGAGGGGGGGGTGACGAACCCCCCCGCCCCTGGGGGGAACGACCCCCCGACTGGTCGTAAGAGGAACCCCCCTCCAAACCCAGGGGCAGGGTCGTCGGTAGGAGAGCGACGAGCGTCACCTGTCAGAGGGGGTGGCTGGGCGCCCCCGCCCGTGGGGGATGAGGGCCCGGCAGAGCCCCGAGAGAAAGAGCCGTTCGCGCCCAGGCACAAAACGGCGTGGTGCTTGCCCTGGCAGTGCGGACAGGGCCGCTGGTGCGGGCAGTCTCGTTGGAGGTGCCTTTCTAAACATGAATAGCACCAGCGGCGCTCCCTGGCGATGGTTTGTCTCGCTGAGGCAGGCTTGCCTAATAACTTAGGGCACGACGTCACCCGGTGTTCTGCTGCTCTACAATAGGAGCAGGGGGGCGCCTTCCTGGCCACTAGGCCACTATAAGATGATAGGAGGGGGCGCCCTCCCGCAGGGGCACCACTCGGTCTGAGGGGGGTTGACAACGACTTGGCCGGGGGGTTTCGCCTTTCCCTGGTCACGGTTCGGTTAGCAGTCCGTAGATCTTCGGCGGTGCCCGCTGCGTTTTCGATCTGCCGGCACTGCTCCTCCAAGAACCGCAGCAGATCACTGAAGGGAGGAATATAGGAGGCGCCGTCTCCGCCGTACCTCTCCTCAAAATGGAGTCGAAGATCGAGAGGTAGGCGGGACAGCACAATATGGAGCAACAAAAAGGACCATTCGTCCACCGGCAAATCCAGCCGTCTCAACGAGTTGCAGGCCACCAAGACCGGATTTACGATGTCCGGTCGTAGTCGGGCCCGGTCCTTTAGCAGCGGGAGGTTCAACAGGAGTTTGACGTGCTCGTCCGCAATTCGCCGTACGTTGGCATACCTTCCGGCCAGGAGGTCCCGAGCGTTCAGGTAGGCGTCGTCCGACACCTTCAAATGGCCGACGACGCCCAAGGCCTCCCCCCTCTAATGAGGCCAGGAGATACGCCATCTTCTGGCTTGGTGTTAAATCCCTCCGGGCATCCACCAGGCTGTCAAAAAGTCCCACAAACGTTAACCACTCGGAGAGGACCCCGGAGAACCTTGGCAGGTCCAGAGTGGGAAGTCGTCCCAACAGCTCCGGGTGGGCTGCTTCCGAGGGGACTCGAGCAGGACACCCAGCCGAGCTTCACGCGCGTCACTAGCCTGCTTGGCCCCTGCCTCAATCAGGTCATCCGTGAGAGCAAAAAATTGCTCATAGTCGGAAAGACAGGAGTCTAGGACTCCCTGTTCCGCTCCCGAAGCCATAATCTCGGAGCATGCCTCCTCCACTACGGCCCTTCGGGTCATGACTTGCTCGAGCCGCTTCTCCAAGCTATGGATCCTATCTGGTCTCCCTATCAAGCTGTGAGCATTCGCAGCCCAGCGCAGTTCCGCTTGCAAGCGAAGCGTCGGTGACCGGTGTGAAGGCATCATTACAAGGTACGATTATCACCGAATTAAATTTAGTACAAATTACTTTACACAATTAGTTTAATTACCACAATAAAAATAATACAATACAAAATACTATTTATCCAATCAGTAAATTATACTACGCAATTAATTTAATTAGTACAATTACGGTTCGCCCTCACGATTATTATGACGAGAGTACAGTATTCCTTACCACCACGGCTTACGGGCGTGGCTCAATTCTAACACTTAACAAAGTAAGCAACCAGATAAAGTAAATAAAAAAAACTCAAAAAATACGGTTACTACACGGTTCTATACACCGATCCTATGCTAACAAATAACAAGCGAATAAAACAAATTATTATTACGTATTGCAACAAACACAACCAGCAGCCACGTGGTTACAACCGCTATCTTGCTACCAACTTACGTATTACGCTGGGAGACTACGCTACTCCTACCAAAATGTTACGTATTGAGCTGGGAGTGGTTTCAAAACCCATCAGGAAAACCACGCACTGCTACCAAATGTTAGGCCGACCTCCTGTTACTCGTCGAGTGGAACCCCTGATGGGCCCGGGTCCCACGACCTTGCCCGGGTAACTAGAGGCCGTAACAAGAACTATTCAATAATTTAACCAGTTTGTTCTTTTAAGCTTTAAATAATTAGAAGTCGTCTATCGAATGCATATCCTGTTTGCAAGTCTTAAAGTCCACGACGTCAATCGACATTTGCCCGCTGCCACCCGTCCGTAGCTACACGTGCAGGTAGATTACATATATTTTAAATTGCCGACGGGATATTCCTACCAGCGAATAAATTGTCCAAATATATACCTTTAAAATATGGTGTAATGCTATAATTGTTGGCTACATTTTTTATTGTAGAGGGGCATTAAAAATTAGACCTACAATTATACAAAATTCAATTCAATTCAAGTTTGTACTTGGAATTATTTATTTGATATACAATACAATACATGACCTACTTAGGAATTTAATTACAATTAAAATTACAATATTTACAATTAATACTAATTATACACAATACAAAAGAAAAGAAAAAAGAAACTATAATATAGAAAAACTAACACAAAAAAGTCCTGCTCCCCGTGGTATAGTGCCAAGAACGCTGGCTGCGTTTCCTCGCTGAATAGCTATACTTAGCCTTTGAGCGAGGAAAGAACCAGCCCTCTTATCACCAGCAGCGACGACCAGCCGTGGATACAGTTCCTTTAATTAATTTAATTTAATTACAAACGACTGGAACTTTCAAAATAATTAGTTATCATAAATCTGGTAGTTATAATCAACATCACGCTTCAGACTGCAATAACTAAAAAGGTAATTTTTATAATTTACTACGAATATATCTAATCCATACATTTCCCAATCGATTTAATATGAAGCGATGACATAAATATTATTAGTCATTAAATAAAACTACTAATATAATAACTCTACACTCAACGATTGGTGCAACTGGTCTAGTACTGCGTTTATTATTACCAGCTTATAAAGATATGTGATGTGAATATGCGTATATACCAAATTACCAAGTCAGGAAATAAGTCTGTTTCTGTATTAACTTAAACGAAATCCAACTTTTTTGTGTTACATACGTCGTTCAACTACTGACCACCAGTTGACCATGTATAACTGCCGCCACGAGTCGTGAGCACACTTTTTATTAGTCGATATGACGTTGACCAAGCTGACGCTCAACGTGATTGGTTCGTCAGCCGATTCTCGTAGTCTATTGGGTTCGCACGTATCATTCGACTACCGTACACTTGAGAGCAATTTTAGTCACAACTTTTTAATTAGTTTATTTTTATTAATTGTAGTGTTACCTCGTTAATTGTTCTTTGTGTATTTCTTGTTTTTAATATTTCTTGTTGTTAATTTTTTTTTGTTATAATTAGAGCATTCGGATTCTGGGCTAAATATGCAGAGAAGAAAGAATTGTTGTTAAATAGACAGTCCCGACAAATGCTCTATTCAGTGTTTTGTTACATGAAATAATTAGGTATTGCGAAAAACATGATAGACGTTTATAAACAGACTGCTATGGCGACTAATGTCTACGTAGCTACTGTACGTCGTATAGTTAAAGAAGTTAACGACTCAGAATTTCGAAAAAAATCAGCGAAAATATTCAATTATGAATTGAAATAACAACAGTACCTAATAATTTTGACCGACAGTGTACCTACGCTGGCTCAACCCCCACCATAGTTCATCTGTGCTCACCTTATGTTATTATTTGAATAATAATCTCCCGGTTATCCCGGGGGCGCCTGGATAGCTTGGCGTCCCTAGTCGCTAGGGCGCGGCCCCCGGCGGCGCCGCGCCTCCATAAATCTCCGCGAGGCCGCGCGCTCTCCGCCGCCGCTTCCTTTGTTTTTTTTTCCATGCCGCCGCGGTAATAAGACCGCGCGCGTCAACGTCAGGTATAGATAGGGGCGAGCTACGGGCAGCCGCGCGTTGAATGCAAGTCATCGATAAATTCACAAACGAGGTTTTCTGTGAAACGCCCGCAATCATGCCGCATTTCATACAAGTGTGTTGATGAAAGGAGTACCTACGTGCATAAAATTCTGAAAATAGAAGTAAGTATGAAACCAAAAAATAATAACTAAGACAGCCCTCGGCAGTAAAAGTCCAAAGTTATATTTATTTTTAATTTTATTTGAGAAGCGTTACATATGACGTGATATCTAATATATAAAAATGTATGTTTGTTTGTTCGTATTTTATACGCTTTCATAACGTTTATCAGATTGCTGTTAAACGTTGTCAACTAATTTGTTTGGTTGTAGACATAGTGTAATTTAACGTACAGTCGGTGGCGCGCATGTCATACCGAAAAATTTATTTGTCATATATCCTTCAATTTAAGTGACATGTACTATCATTCCTATTTCAATAATATAACACTTCCAAATTTAAAACGATACTTTCACAATTATTTCTATGCAATGCGCCTGGTACCAGTTCTTATGTCACAAAATTCGCCAGTTTAGCGCGTAGCATGGGTGTTTTCAAAGTGAATTTATGACGAGAGTGTCCGAAATAACCCCAAACTTTCTCGATATATATATATATATATATATATATATATATATCGCTATACGAAAGCTATATCTATATTATTTCCCGTCAATTTATTTCCAAAAATACCGACAAGGACAAGAACTCACCTATCCTGCGGGCAGAGTATAAGGAAAACTGAAAAAGGGTATATGGGAGTTTGTGCCTTCTTAGAAAATTATAAAAATGGTTCGCTTAGAAAAACAAAAAAAGGACAAAATTTTAATTGGATATTCAACCATCCGTGATCGTTCCAATTATTAGACAAGTCGACAAAATACTGGCACATATGTTTTTACAAAACTCTCGCGTTGCACCGCAACCGACGCGCTGTACAGCCTATTGTCCGTGCAGAAGTACAATAAAGATGGGCTCAGAACGCGCCGCCCGCCTAGTTACACGTTCCAGTGAGTCAGACGCGGCGGCCGGAGTAATTAGAGGACATCATCGCTCCGGGAATAGGGTCGCTCGCGGCTGAAAAAATAATCGATTTTATCGAGAATCGTTTTCGGTTATTCCAGAATGCGTATAGAATTCAAACCAACGATCGTTTTCCTTGATTTTTATTGTTATGTTTTCAATCAGAAATTATTGATTTGTATTTTATTAATAACACTCAATAAGGATAATATATATTCGGTTGCGTAAACAATGTAATCATTATTGGATTGTTCATAAAATTAAAAGCCGATTTCAAATATCAAATTAACATGTGTTTGAAATTTATATGGGACTACTGTGGAAATATTATACTATCTATCAATAAATAAAAAACCGAGCTAAATCGATTAACTGACCCCGGATTTACTATCGTATTACAAATGCTTATATTTACAAGTCTACAATTAAAGAAACAATTTAAAAAAAATATAAATGATAAAGTAATCCTATTTCAAATTCTTGTAATTTATTATTGCGGTCTCCACGATATTCTTTCTATCCTAAAAACCTCTCAGAAATAATAAACTCCGGCGGAATTAAAAAGGGCACAGCCGCGGGGCGTATGGGGTATATCAATGGTATTTGTTAATAATTCCTACTATCACATATCAACGATGAACCACCTAATTTAAAAAATTTAATTTAATTTAACATACCTCAGACAAAATAAAAACTCTTATTTCGTCTGAGTAACATACGTATATTAAATTACATATATATAACTATCTATGTACCCCACCCTAAGTATTCGGAGAAACCGTGAAGTGTTGGTGGAAGAATATGCTCTACGGTAGAGCAGGTAGATTTCGGAATGTTCCGTATTTAGGTACCACTCTTTGCGCCCTCCTTTCTGCCAAGGAGGGTCGCGTTCGTATACGGCTTAGAGATCTCTAGTCAGATCGTTAAGCCAATTCCTAAAAGGTTGGGTTTAGTGGGTAAAAGTCACCACATAACCACGCAGCCGGCTGCGTGGTATGCTATGAGCATTCCCAACCTCCCTCCCCCGCTTTCCAGAGGGTTGCCCATATTTGCTTCGGGCGCAAAAAAAAAAAGTACCACTCTCCGTCTTGGTAGCTCAGATAGTTAGCGCTCGCTGTAAATTTGACATTTTGCGTGCAACCCGGGTTCGATTCCACGAACTTTAACTAAACGAAATTGTTTATTGTAATTTTAAGTGCTGATTTACCACTTGCTTGGCGGTGAAGGAAAAAATCGTGAGGAAACCTGCATGTCTGAGAAATAAGAAAAAGAATTTCTATGACAGCGCGGCGGACACTTCCGTGCACTAAAACCCTCAGAAATAAGAGGAGGCCTGTACCCAACAGTGGAACGTATATAGATTGTAGCTTTAATTGATATTGGGTACAGGCAGATAGAGCCTCTACCCCATATCACCCTGTGAGTATCGTAAGGGGTGACAGAGGGATACTGAAAGAGGACGTGGGCAGCAGGACCTTAATAACAACTCAAAATAATAAAGTAACTGCGGTTGCCAATCTGTCTGCCTAGTGCGGCAAGCGTGGCAAAATTCCTCCTAAGAAGTAATCTTTAAGGGAGGCCTATGTTCAGCAATGGACTTTTAGAGGCTGAATATGGAAGTATTGGTATTTATACTATTGTCATTCCAAGTAAATACCATGTTGTACGTATAATTTTTTATAGGATAGGATGACAAACGAGCACACAGTCCACCTGATGGTAAGTTGTTGCTGTGGCCTTTAGACATCTACATTTAACCTCGATTACGAATCAAAATGCAGATGCGTTGTCATCCGTGACGACTTAGATGGAATGCCTCGTTTCCAGAAAAAGGGTCTCCAGTTCTCTACACTCACCATACGAAGCACAGCAGCTACTATTTGACGCTGTATTCTGTGAGAGCGCGGTCCTTCCCCGGTCGAGCCGACCCATTCGTGCTACAACTATACTACTAATATAACTGCAGCATGGCTCTACCACGTAAAAAATAAGCAATAAAATATGCAATAATATAATAAACAATAAAATTATAATAATGAATGATTATAATAAATTTTATTGGCGCTTAATTATTAAGGCGATATAGTCGGTGCGACAGGTGTGACTGCCAAAAGTCTAAAGAGGTACTATGGATAAGTTAGAAGCCAATATCGATAATTCGGACCTCTCTATAATTCAAAGTTATCACGAGTTCCCAACAAAATATCTTTATATTTCGAACTCATCGGCGTCAAACACACGACAAAAAAAAAAAAAATTAGACAGAAACAGAAACACGAGCCTCGGCTAAGAGGAAAACACCCAACAATGGTACAGCTGTAACACCTCTAACGATTCTCAACTGCTTCAAAAAATCCGGTTTCATAAAAGAATATCAGGAAATACTTCCAATAACGATTTCATATATTTACGCGAACACTACACATTTAAATAATAATTGGTTTTACGGATTTTATCGCGTATATTTAACTTTTTAAACACCTGACGTTTCGAGCACTTTATAGCACCCATGGTCACGGGGGGGGGGACTGAGATGTTCAACGTCCAAATGTCATAGTTAACCGCGGTTACCATAGATTAAAATTTAACTTTTGATTCGATCTACACAGTATTAACTTATGGTATCATGAAGTCTTGCAGTTGTATGATTGTCGATGTTTTTTTTTTTTTCAATAGCCTTGCTAATCATCCTTGGAAGGAATCGGTGTTCTTTAGCAAGGATTTGTGGTCTTAAAATGAAAAAGCATTTTAGTATAGCAGAGTTCTTTCGAAAGATAAATTAATTCACACTATGAATATGTATAATATATAAGTATATATAAAAGGTGCGTTGGGGTAATACCGAGTGATTTTCGACTAGTTAAAAGAGTCGGGCAAAAACTTTATTTTCTCGACATCCATATATACGTCAGATTTTTGAAACATGGCGCAAATCGTTAATGGTTACACGTAATTTAGATATAAAAAGCTTTTACTTTTCAAAACTCAACAGTTTTTGCTTAAAACGTGTGCGAAGACAAGGCATAATTTTTTATATGCATGATGAAGAATTGGCCATCAAGGGATAAGACCGGACGTCGCTAAAAATCGCAAATAAAAGTGAAAGGGAAAGACCGGACGGACGAAAAAAATACAAAAATTACCTTGTTTTATAAAATACGGCGCAGCACACGCCCTACTTTTCGGAGCGACTAGCTGAAACTTGGGGTCGGGGCAGAATAAAATGGAGTCTTGTACCATATTGCTAGCTTTCAAAAATATAGCATAATTCACCGGAAATTTGAATTTTATGGTCTTACTCCATCACCGATCTTCTATGCACTATATGTATATGTAAGAATAGCAGTTAATAAATAATAATTGATCAACACTTAATAATTCAAAGTTTTATTTATTTTCTCTCAAAAATTTCGAATCATGTGGTAGTTCAAACACTCGCTAATTCGTAATATTTTAAGAGTCCCTCGAGTTTCGAATTAACGAGAATCGGCTGTAATTGTTTGTTTAACCAACAAGCATTTTAACCTATTAAGTCATACGTACTCTCTCCTTCGACTTCGACTCCTTTTATCGTAGATAAATAAATGTGCACAATCTTAAATTCATTGCACTTATGTGTACCTACGTCTTAAAATAGCAAATAAATATATCTCCTTGGCGCAACCGGCAATTATTATTAATAATAATCATATCGCAAGGCGAACCTGCGGACTGATAAGAAGCCGCGGACGATCACGCAGCGTGCGAACGATAACCGCCATAGATAACGCAGCCAATATACGATTGTGTAATTGGATGGTGATGATTAAAAAATGCAACTCACAAAAACAAATAAAACCACAAAAAAAAAAAAAAAAAAACATTTTTTTTATTTTTTTTTTTTCAAAAAAAAAAAAAAACCCCCCCCCCAAATGCTAATATAAAAAAATCGAATAGGAAAGCGTGAACAATTATTAAAAACGCGTTGCTGTTACATGAGTTCAAGTATATCACAGACAGAATTATATCCATAGTTATTTGTATATCCCAATTAT